AGGAGAATCGCTTGAACTTGGGAGGTGGAGGTTTCAGAGATCATGCCATTGCACTCCAGCCTAGGCAACAAGAGAGAAATTCTGTTTCAAAAAATAAAATTAAATTAAAAATGCATATCCTTCAGCTCAGCAATCCCACTTCTGTATGCTCAAATAATACACATATGTATGTATAAAGAGGTATGTACAAGGTTGTTCACTTTCAACACTCTTGGTAATAGCAAAAAACTGGAAACAACCATAATTTCCATGAAAAAAAGAATAGCTAAATAAACTATACCCAACATTATGCTATTCTACGCAACAGTTAATAATGAGGATATGTATGTTTATATGAAAATATCAAGATGTAACTAAATAAAAAAATGCAACCGGCTACAGTGGCTCACACCTATAATCCCAGCAGTTAGGGAGGCTGAGGCAGAAGGCTCACTTGAGACCAGGAGTTTGAGACCAGCCTGGGCAACGTAGCATGACCCCATCTTTACAAAAAGTTAAAAAAACTAGCCAGGTGTGGTGGCACACACCTGTAGGCTGTGGTAGGATTGCTACCACAGTAAGAAGTTCAAGGTTACAGTGAGCTATGATCATGTATCTCTAAAAATATATATATTTTAGTATATATAATATACAATATATAAGTAAGAAGAAGTTCAAGGTTACAGTGAGCTATGATCGTGTATCTCTAAAAAAAAAATTTTCTTTTTGAGATGGAGTCTCACTCTGTCACCCAGCCTAGAGTGCAGTGGCGCGACCACGGCTCACTGCAGCCTCAACTTCCTGGGATCAGGTGATCCTCCCACCTCAGCCTCCTGAGTAACTGGGACTACAGGCAAGCACCAACACACCTGGCTAATTTTTTTTTTGAGACAGTCTTGCTCTGTCACCCAGACTGGATTGCTATGGCACAATCTTGGCTCACTGCAACCGTCGCTTCCCAGGTTCAAGCAATTATCTTGCCTCAGCCTCCTGAGTAGCTGGGACTAAGGGTGTGTGCCACCATGCCCAGCTAATTTTTGTATTTTTTGTAGCGACGGGGTTTCACCATGTTGGCTAGGCTGGTCTTGAACTCCTGACCTCAGGTAATCCACCTGCCTTGGCCTCCCAAAGTACTAGGATTACAGGCGTGAGCCACCATGCCCAGCCCCAGTTTTTGTATTTTTAGTAGATACAGGATTTTGCCATGTTCTCCCAAAGTGCTGGGAATACAGGTGTGAGCCACCCTGCCTGACCCCTGTATAATTTTAAAATTAAAAAAAATAGGCTGGGTGTGGTGGCACACACCTGTAGGCTGTGGTAGGATTGCTTGAAGTAAGAAGTTCAAGGTTACAGTGAGCTATGATCATGTATCTCTAAAAATATATATATTTTATTATATATAATATATAATACATAATATATATTTTATTATTTTATATAATATATATTATATATTTTTCATATATATGTTTTTTATATATATATATAAATAATACCTGGAGTTCTGGCCCTCAAAATCCCATCTTTTTGGGTGCGTCTTCCAGTCTTTGGAGTGAACTTGGCCATCAGTGATTCTGAAGAGGTAGTGACCACAGAGAACCTCAGCACAGCAAACTGAGAAACTGGCCATTTTTATTGTATTTTATTGTTTTTTGGAGGCAGGGGGTCTCACTATATTGCCCAGGCTGGTCTTGAACTCCTGGGCTCAAGTGATCCTCCTGCCTCAGCCTCCCATAGTGCTGTATTAACAGATATGAGCCACTATGCCTGCCTGGCCATCTATATTTGTTTTTTTGTTTTTGTTTTTGAGACGAAGTCTTGCTGTCACCCAGACTGGTGTGCAATGGCACCATCTCAGCTCACTGCAACCTCTGCTGCCTAGGCTCAAGCGATTCTCCTGCCTTAGACTTCCAAGTAGCTGGGATTACAGGTGCCTGCCACCACACCCAGCTAATTTTTGTATTTTTAGTAGAGACAGGATTTCACCATGTTGGACGGGCTGGTCTCGAACTCCTGACCTCAGGTGATCCACCCACCTCAGCCTCCCAGAGTGCTGGGATTACAGGTGTGAGCCACTGCACCTGGTCTTTTAATTTTTTTTTTTCCTCAGAGACCTTTATTATGAGATCTTTATTTCTTCTCCCTGTTGTTTTCCTAGTCTATCTCACAAATCATTTCATGATTAATTTTCCTAAAGAGAAAATATTTATTAAGCATTTGTCATTATTTGTACTCAGTATTTGGTAATGGCAAGAATGTTTGAGGAAAGTTAACATACCTTTCTGATCTCAACAGACCTTTCTGATTTCTTCATTACTTCTTCCCATTAAAAGCCTCCAATTTCA